CGTTCCCATGTAAAGTGCACGTTTGTTTGACCTGCTGGCGATCGATGACACGAAGGTGTGATTGATATAAGGCGTTATTTATCGGCCAGTGTCTTGTTTGAGTGTGGCGACATCGTTTTCGCGCTTAGGAGAGCGCGTACATAAACAGACGGCGACATTTCTGAGCGCGAGGTAGGCGAGGGAATCGCGACCATCGAGGGAGTCCCAGAGACTGTCACATCATCAAGGCTGACCGGCCAGGCCAGGCTGTGTGTGTGTCGTCGTGGGTTCGCGCAGAGATAGTCGAGGTAGGAACGTTGGTCGCCATGGCCATGTACATCGCGGTCTATCAAGATAAGTCGGTATCAGGTGTCCAGGGAGAGATATAGATGGACATTCGACCGCGGTCCAGGTCGAACGTGCGCGATTTAGATGAGTCACGATATGGCCCATCATATCGCGCTAAAACATGCGTTACGCGCCAGATATGCGTGATCATCAAGGGGATTCGTTGGGAGCCTGTCCCGTTTCAGAACGCTCCCAGACACAGTGTGAATATAAAAGCCGCTGATCCTATGGGAGAAGGGGAAGCGTGCTGCATTTGCGAGTTGTTTGTGGTCAATGATGTGGTGGCGCTATAGGTGAGAGATAAACAGAAGCAAACATTGAGTGGCGAGTGCGACGACAACCATTCGGGAAAAAGATCGAGAGCACTCTTGAAAACGAAGGAATCGGAAACACAAAATGAAGACCAGAGCATAACCGGATATGTTGACCGAGCCCTGTGCATCCACGGAATCATCATCGCCATGTAACAACGAATGCCCAGGGAGTCTGAAGATTGAAGCGCCCATGGGGAATTTGATGGGGTTTTTGTAGATCGCTTGACATTTTCATTCTGTTGGGAAATGTGTGTTGCTGTCATATAAAATGTCCTATACATTTACAATTTGCTGTAATGTTCAAGAGCAACGGGAAATTTCGTGACATTTGTGCGGGAGCGTGCACAAATTATGTGCTTTTCTCAATTATCGATCTGATGTCGTACTGTTTGAACCGCCGATCGATATCACAGTAAGCTAGCGACGGATGGGTTAAGTAAGGGAATGGGAAAATCATTCACCCTGAAATTATTGAGGGTTGCTAAGCCCGAGGTTCATTGGCGTCCGCCCAACTCGAGTAAAGATTTTACCTTAAATTCCAGTTTTTTGTATGAGACTGATTTTATTGAGTTCCGGGATTTAATACTTTTCGATTTCTTTATACTCTTTACTGCATGAGCTCTTCCCGCAGGTGCTGAGTACTTAATAGTACAGTGACCAATGTATTTAAAGCATTTCGTGGTTTCCCTGCTACCCTTTGAAAGAATACTATTAACTGTCAATGAATCAATATTTTCTCATTAATAATGGGAATTTTAACCATTCGTTATTTCAGCAACATATCTTCTTGAGGATATCGATAAATATCGATTCCTCGTCAACGGGAACATTACCTTGCCAAATGTCGATGACGCACAGGAATTCCAGAGCACACTCAAGTCTATGCGAATCATGGGATTCGCAGAAGACGAGATCACATGTGAGTCATATGAATTACTATTTCTCTCATTAATATTTCATACCACATGAATACTGTTCAGCGGTTCTACGTGTTGTATCAGCAACCATTCTTATGGGTAATTTTGAGTTCACACAGGAGAAGAAGTCAGACCAGGCGATCCTTCCTGATGATAGAGGTATACCTAAACATCCATTTCGTTTGGAGAAGATTCCATTTTCAATTTCTATTGTGAACCATATTTTCTCCATCATTTTCTCTTCAGTCATTCAAAAAGTTTGTCATTTGCTTGGCTTGCCAGTTATCGAGCTGACCAAGGCTTTCTTGAGACCACGAATCAAGGTAAAGATGAGATATCGTTTTATATTCGTGAAAATCTATTCTTTTTTTTGCTTACCCTCAGGTTGGCCGAGAATTCGTGAACAAGGCTCAAAACAAGGAACAAGCTGAATTTGCCGTTGAAGCAATTGCTAAAGCCTCTTATGAGCGTATGTTCAAATGGCTGGTGAATCGTATCAACAAATCCTTGGACCGAACTCGTCGTCAAGGAGCCTCTTTCATAGGAATTCTCGATATCGCTGGGTATGATATTACTTAGCTTTTATTGTAAATATTTATTCTGCTTTGAATGTATGAGTAATATGAACGATTGAATTCCTGAAAAGTCGGCGATCGTTTTTTGCCGTTGGTGGTAAGTGCATTTAGAATACGACTACATGCATTACTGCTTTCCATTCTAAAAGTGTTTCACAGTTTTTCAAGTAAAGTGTTTCGTTTTGGCTACTCGCCAAACCAAAGTTTCTTGTTAGGATGGATTACAGTTCAATGTTCGACACAAATAATTTTATACTGTTTTGACATTCGTTTCTTGCAGTCTTGCTTGATTAGGAAGGCTAAAAATCTGGTGTTAATTGTGGTTTACTCTCAGAAGAGCGTATGAATTAGTTAAATTTCAGTTTCGAAATATTCGAACTGAACTCCTTCGAACAGCTATGCATCAATTTCACGAATGAGAAGCTTCAGCAGTTGTTCAACAATACCATGTTCATTATGGAGCAGGAGGAGTATCAAAGAGAAGGTATGCTTCATTCACGACTATCCATTATCTCCGAATTTAATCTTCATTTGCGTTTCTATTTCTAAGAATTCAAGGATTGACTACTGAAAAGTTTTGGTGATAAGGCAGTAAGGCTTTTGAATCTATTGAACAATCCTTCTCTGTAAAGTCCTTAGTCCGGATGAAAGTAGAGGGTTTTTATCTTACCCGACAAAGAAGACATGGTTTGCGAATTACAAAATTGACGTCCTACGAGCCGTACTCACTTCCCATATTGATCGGTTGCGCAGAGCAGGAAAAACTTCACCTTAGACTCATGAGGCTGGGAATTTTATATTTCTTTTAGAACTAAAGAGATTTTTTATAATGGTTTCCGAAATCTTAGGCCTTAATCGAAAGAACGATTCGTAATTGACATCATTTTATGTGTGTAGTTGAGATTTCTTTCAAAACCAGATGCTTAGTCATGAAAGCGCAAATTACCCTCAGAGGACCACGGTTAGGGCTTGATGGATTTTCGGAACCTATTTTGACACGGTTCAGCAGAAGTGAATCATAGGTTTCGAAAACGTGTTCGAGAGTAAACGGGATTAGCTCCTTCAGTGAATCTCCTTGGGGTGTTGTGGCGGATGGGTGTTGCAATGTACCTGAACGTTTCATGAGTTGTGATTCCTGAGATGCATGTGCAAAACAAGTTTCTATACTTAAATTTTAAATATAATAGTTTGCTAGAAATTTGCAAGCTTCCTAACATCTCTAGGACTGATATTTCGCTAACTAGTTACTTAAAAGACATTCTCGTAATTGTGCTTATGCTCAGCCATTGGTTACCAGATCCCTAGGAACAGCGTTGACATTCATTGTTCAGGAATCGAATGGCAGTTCATCGATTTTGGTCTCGATCTGCAGCCAACAATCGATCTGATCGAGAAACCGATGGGTTTGCTGGCGTTGCTCGATGAACAGTGCCTGTTCCCGAAAGCAACCGACAAAACACTTGTCGAAAAACTCCAGAAAACTCATAGCAAACATCCGAAGTTCATTGTACCGGATATGCGTGCAAAGAGCGATTTTGCTGTGGTTCACTATGCTGGTGAGAAATTATTAATATTTTTTGTTTTGGAGAATAAAAAAAGCATTCTGCGAAATTTGCTAGAAATGTTCGTGTGAAAACGTATACATGATCACAAATTTGGATCATTTTTGCGCTGCCCTGTTCCCTGTACAGTTATTGATTGGACATGTGTACTGTTCCGTTGGCGCGTTTTTCTTACTTAGTGCTAAGATATAACCACAACAATAGTTGACACATTTTAGGCCGAGTAGATTATTCTGCTGACCAATGGCTAATGAAGAATATGGATCCTCTCAATGAAAATGTTGTCGCTCTAATGCAGAGCTCAACAGATCCATTTGTCTGTGGTATCTGGAAGGACGGTGAGTTATCGTTTTTCGTTGTCATTTACTGAGTTACCAGAATGTATTGAATCGTTTTTCTTTTCAGCTGAGTTTGCTGGCATTTGTGCAGCAGAAATGAATGAGACGGCTTTCGGTGTCCGTGCCAAGAAAGGAATGTTCCGTACGGTGTCACAACTTCATAAAGAACAGCTAACACGTCTCATGACAACGCTACGAAATACCAGCCCTCACTTTGTGAGGTGTATCATTCCAAATCATGAAAAGAAGGTCGGTAATCATGATAGTTTCCTGAGGTATTTCGTGATAACAAAGGATAATGTTGCAAGGATGAAACGCACAGTGAAAGCTGTACTTTTTCTAGGCTGGCAAAATCAATTCGATGCTTGTACTCGAACAGCTCCGATGCAATGGTGTACTGGAAGGTATTCGTATCTGCAGACAAGGTTTCCCTAACAGAGTGCCATTCCAAGAATTCCGTCATCGTTATGAGATTCTTACTCCGAATGTGATACCACGAGGTTTCATGGATGGAAAGGAAGCTGTCAAGTAAGACAAATGTGACATTTGGCTTGGATCATTACAATCGGATTTTGTCTTTCTAGGAAAATGATCGAGTATTTGGAAGTGGACGCGAATCTTTACCGAATTGGTCAATCGAAGGTGTTCTTCCGAACTGGGGTTCTCGCTCATCTAGAAGAAGAGAGGTAGGTGATCCGTTCTTATTCTGCTTATTCTGGATTTTTTCTTATGATTTCCTACTCGACTATGTTCAGAGATTTGAAGTTGACAGACCTCATCGTTCAATTCCAAGCTCAATGCCGTGCATTCCTTGCAAGACGCCTTTATGTGAAAAGGGTTTGTTGATTGGAGAACATTGTGTTTTGCGAGTATCCAATATTTTTTTT